GCATTTCTTCCATCTTCCTGTTTGAAAGTGAAACAGGAAACAACACGGAATGTATCAACAGATGACAATTCATTTTATACTACTGACAGTCAGAAACGCAAAGACAGATGAAACTAAAAGTTGACTTAGTTAATGGATGAAAAATAAAGAATCGGATCAAAAATTGAAAGTTTTTAAAAAGAGTTTTCCTCCAAAATTAAATTTTGCTGCAATTAAAATTTAAATTAGTTCAAAAGAAATGTGAATGAGATATGGATAGAAAATCAGAAAAATGAACTTTGCAATTTATACAATCAAGTTGCAGGCTCTCAATATCTTTTCATTTCTTTTGATTCAATTCAAATCGTCCCATCGTTAATGATCTCATTCGCTCCCTTCAATATAGTCTATAATTTGATGATTTCAATTTCTTGCTAACACTGTTCTTCTACCATTTTCGATACAAAAAAATGAAAAAACTCTCCTGATGAACTAGAAAATGCATTTAATTTCCTAAAATTCCAACTTTAGGTCATACTACTCTTTATCAATTGGTAATCGATGGTGCAAATTCAGCAAATTCTTTCTATCAGGAAATCCATTTTTGTTTTAATTTCTAGAGGTAGATTAAAATCAACGGCTAAATAGCTTACACACATCCATTTCAAAGAATTTTGGAAATACAAACGATCCTTTTATATTCTCAAGACATGACACCATTCTTTTCTTTATTCTCTTATAGCCGCATTCCAAAATTCATCTTAAAACTCTCTCAACACTTTTTCTGTTCTCAACTAAGTACAGAAAATTTCATAAAAGTAAACTTGTCAGGATGGAAAATAATAGAAAATATGCAAAATTCCTTTTCTAATTTTATCACCTATCAGACTGTTCTGCACTTTTATCAGTTCTATAATATTCTCGCTTTTCTGACATTTGTTAAATAATTTTTGGTTTTTTGCTTACTGGAAAAAAAAAAAACAATTGTTCGGCAGATACTCTTTTCAAGATAGCGGGCGAAGGATGAAAGATTTTGTCACATGTAGTAATGAAGTTTATATTATCACTAATTAGATATTTCACATGTTGTTAACAACATATTCTGTTCTTGAATTTTTAAAAACAAAGCATAATTTCGAAGACATTTATTTTTGCAGCGAATGCAAAAGTAATATTTGATTTGTAAAAGGAATTCGACAATTGTTGATGGTTTTTAAATTTTCTGAACAAATATTTAAGCATCCTTATCAAATTTGCCATAATACATTTGTTTA